TCCGCTGCGGCGGCGGCAGCCACCGCTATCTTGGCGTTCGCAATTCCCAATCCTGTATTGCTACCGTCGCGTCGCTGTGGATGACAGGTGCCGAGTGCCATCTGGATCAGCTGATCTGTGTAATCGGTTTTCTGTGTAGTCTCTAGGATTCTAACGCTCGGTAGATATTCGTTGGTATAAACGAATTCACCGCTTACCGTTTTCGCACTAGTAGTCATGACGAGCTGAGGGAAAAAGATCGCAGCCGCGCTTGCACCCGCTGCGAGTCGAGCAGCAGGTGTATGCAGATGCGCCCACTGCGCTAGTGTCGCTAGGGCCACCTTTCTACTGGGCCCACCCCTTTCAAGGCGTTGGCCGGCAATACCTCGACGTCTCACGGGCGACAGCCCCTTTGCTTTCTTCCGTCACTGGTTTCTCTTCTTCCCTCACCTCTTGAACTCTCCTTCATATTCCCGATGTGTCGGTGCCTGCGGCGGAGAGAAAAGGCCCCGTCCATCCCGATGGTGGAAGTGGCTGCTTCGACAGTTCGAACCCCCATCTGGTCTCCCATTGCCCCACTTTTCAAAAGATCGCCGCGCATGGAAAGAGAAAACTCGGGCGCCTCCCTTTTTTACTCGGCACAGCACGCCTCTGAAAAGGATGCTTGTCGCTGAACGCACTATTTTGGTGGGCCACGCTTTGCGAGTGTAATCCAACCGGATTGTAGAGGGTTTTGAACGCAGAAAACGTATCAGGCGCAGAGCGCAAAGATCGCTGACAGCTCGTTTCTTCAGCAAAAATGAGACTTAAACTGAATGGAGATACCACACTTCCATTTTGTCATTTTGCATATATCGCGGTCGTCCAAAAAATCGCTGTCTACGAAGTTTAGGTAGGTTATAAGAATCGTTGGCAGGGTACGCTATTGAACCGTTCATATGAGAAAAAGTGATAGTACCTCTAAGCAGAGATGGGGCTTACGTTTCCGGAAAAAGGCGAACGTAGAATAGTGAACCTTTTTGACGACGATATTAAAAGTGCACGGTGGTCGGTTGGTTTAAGCTGCAACCGGCGGTGTCGCTACCGCTGCTAAGACAATCGGATGACACATCAAAACAGGAAACGCTTGCAGTGGAAGGAAAAGCAAATAGATAAAAAAATCTTTTTAAAACAGCAGACGCGACAGGACAGGCAGGCAGGCTCTCCTTATGAGCGCCTTTTCAGCCCAATTCCAGTGTCGTTTTCCGTTATTTTCTTGGGGGCATGTATGAAGTAAGGTGTAAAAGACTTCGAAGTATCGGCTAGTCAATTTCTACCCAGACGGTCGTTCTCAAGCTGTGAAAAGCAGCCTACCAATGGGCAGATAGGTATGTTTGCGTATGGGCAATACGCAATCGTCAGACTCACGTCAAAGAAATTATCGACCAAAGCACTTGTATTTGGAAAAAGCTGATCTTGATAAACGTACTTATGCAATACTACAGGGGGGTACTGTACAAGTAAGAACATAATTCATAATGGCACATCGAACTGCCTCCTGAACTTTTTAGATTAAATTATACACTGCTATCATCTTATGCAGTAAAGTCTATGAACAAAAATACGACGATATATATTACCTATGTAGTATGCCTTATTCTATTTTGAAAATTGCTAGATCTATGCATGCGTTCGAGTTTGAAGTACCTATAGAACGCATTGAGGATAAATGTTCTCTTATGACTGGCCTGATACTTCGTTCCCTTTTGCCCGCTTACTCGAATCGCATCTTCTGTGTTCTTCGTTCGGATGGGATCTTATTCAAATGGCAGGGCTGAACAAATTTTTGCGACAGCTGTTCAAGATTTACTTAATGAGTGGAGCTATTCCCAGTTGAGTTAGTGAGTAGCTGTGCCAGAACGAACTCAACGGCTTCAAGAGAACAAATATGAGAAGCAGTGCCTGCCGAACTGGGAGGCGGGCACCCGACAGAAAGTCGCATCTGGCCCAAATGGGCCAATCATTTCTGCAAGGCTGACGGCCAACGTTTGAGAGCCGCTAAAAAAGTACAATTTTCCGAGACACCAACTCATATAACAAAGTAAATGAATTTTACGGAAAGCTAAACGCAAATGGTAAAGCGATATTCATAGCGACCTGAACCTGTTGCTGAGGAAATTTCGCTATTAGATAAAAGAAAGACGTTGGTTTACATTCACCACCGGGTATTTTCACATAAATCAATTATCAATTGAAATTTTTCCATTTTGCATTGCGGCATCTCGATTATATACTTTATGTTCGTATCGGCGAGATATTGATACCATCGATCTTGAAGAACTTAGGAAGTATGTCAGCCTTTGTGCAGTGAACTTGATCAGCTGCGGCCCTCTCAGCAAAATGTATAGCTACTAGACGTCATGATATATGTCTATAACCCAATGGAGCACCAATACGCGATCCTGGCCAACTATAAACGAGTATAAGAACTTCGCTTTTGCTAGGGTTTGTTCTAACCGTTAGTTTCATTAATGGTTACTTTCATCAGAGATGCTCATAAGAGCCTCAAAGCAACGCGTACTAGCGTAGGACTTGAAACAACTTCCACCATAAGGAACAATTTCGAGTAGCCTTCTCTTAAAGCAATATAAGAAGGATCAAATTAGCAAGAACCTACGTATGGTAGTAATTCTTAAGCAGTTCCCATAGAGGCCATGTAGCCTTTCTATGCGACGAACACTCACACTGCGGAACTGATTTCAAAAAAAGAAGAAGAATAATATAATATTATTATTATATAAATATTATATTATATAATAATAATATATATATATATTATTATTATATATAATAATAATATTATATTACTTCAGTTGTTTTCAGTTTCGTCATATGTTTGGTGGGCGTCTTTATTTGATTTCTAGTATTTGGATTGAACCTATTTCTGTCATGTAAACAACTTCGTTATTGCCATTACTGTCTTCTGAATATTGTATATATTATCGTAGCAGACTGGTTCTTTTTATTATATAATATAATATTTAAGTTCTTAGTTGCGGGACATATTACTACACGGGCGTATGTAGTTTCGAAGATGAAATCACTAATAATTATATTGTTATCTAGCGAGGTTGTTGTCTAAATAACTGTTGCGCGACAAGCGATGCTTCCCTGATGCCCTTCAACGATCCGATTCATGAATCGACGATTCAAACGTTTCGCCACAGGTATCCACAGTGCAGACGAGTGTTTCCCCAAAGATTCTAGCTTGCCAACTACTGAACGTTCATTTGACTGGTGCAAAACTAATCGGGCAAACTAAATGTACCTGCCGCTCCGACGAAGCTGCTAATAATGATGACTATGACCCGTTTTTGACGGGCCCAACTGCGACAGACGACGTCTATCGTAGAGCACTAGCTGCAATATAATCCCGTAGTAATGATACACGCTTTTGTCGTTTGCTTCATAAAAACGGTCACCATAAATATTGTGACGATAAATATAAAATGAGACCGAAATTACCCCTACAAAGATCTGCACACAATTTGGCATCCGTCCTAATATTAGGAATATATTATTAATGAGACATATGAGAAAATGACCCTGTAATTGAGTATAGCAAGAGATCTTTTAGTGATTTTCACCTGCTGGATGTCTGCACGTATAAACTTGAGTGGTCTTTCGAGGCTAGATTTGGATAAACCAAATTCAGTGTTGCTATACACGGTTCGAATTAGAAATCTTTATTAGTCCTTATTTGCACTGTGGCACAAGAACTAAGAATTACATAGAAAGGAATATACAATGCCCGCGTCACAACACACATTTTCTATTGCTGCAGGATCCCGAATATCTGACACATTCGAAATTGTTAAAATCTTTATGGTTGATTCGATAGAATACCCATGATTATTATTGATAACCACTGAACAATGACACACATCGTCGACTGCATTAATTGACTCTTTCGAGATACCGCGTGGACGTTATGCCGATTCGGTCCCTTTTTAATACGGCAATTTAAAAGTATGAAGGAAACGATGACGGAGACTTCGATCTTGACTAAGGCTGTGCTAAGGTCTCATTAAGTACCTTCTACCAAATATTTACTTAACTTCATTCAAGACAACATGTTAGCAAGGAATGAAGGGACAAGAAATTCGCGTTTTCCATGTATGTTGCTGTTGCTTCCCGAGCTGAGTGACAGATATCTCCTAGGGCTCACCTATAGTTCTTCAATTCAGTTATATTCTAAACCTTCCACTATAAACGGGTGCATTAGAGATGCTATTTCCGTATTGGTAGAGCTAAGGGAACTCGCGCTTCCAGGTTCCTCTGACCAGATTCAAGAACACCTCGCGTATTCATAGAAACTTTGGATTCAACAGGGAATAACAATGTACGCATATGACTTTCTACTGCACATGACTGCGAAATTTTTTTACCCACATTTCGGGACCTAATCCAGCAAACAAGCTTTCCTAAAATGACGAGGAACGCTCAATACAATATTGCGAGGTTACATCGGTGTAAAACTACGACGAAACTAAAACGAAATAAAAGAAAAACAGGTTATCGTTGTTAACTAATATACAAATATATATATATATATAATATATATATATATATATATATATTTATTTATCGAAGTCTGTGGCTTTGTACTGATAATTCCATCGTGTGTTACTATATGGAATTGGTAAATAACAAATGACTTTTGTTAAGCACTTGCAGCAATGTGTTTATCAGTTATTTAACCAATACACACGAAATACGCTGATGTCGTGTATTACCGCTATGATAGAGTACGAGCTACTCGGTGGCTGTTTGTTCGCCAACTAAGCGCCGTTAGCTTCCATTTTTTTTCTTCTACAACAACAGTCTTTGTCGGTCCCTTAAGCTCCAATAACTAACGAAATGTATACCTTAAGATTGAATTTTCATGGTCGCCACTGATATACATTTTTTTACGCTTTTCTATTTTACGCTGACAGTGAAATGAACAGTCACATCATTTAAGATAGTCTCACAGGTGACTAACTTACTTTTATTTTATGAAGTTTTTATTAAGTATGACACTAAACTGGCATGACATTAACTCCGGATTTAGCCAAAATTGCTACAAGATTTTTACTGTATATTCACCAAATTACTCTTTAGCGAGTTCTTTCTGAACGTATGCAGCCTTTACTTCCTGGAATAGAAAAATCCAGACGTTTTTTTAAACTTAGAACAAAAAATGCCTACAACAGACCAAGAATGAGGGATTTCATACCCACCATTAGAAATCCACCGCAATTGGCAGTATTGACGCGTATAATATATATATAACGTCACACATATATAAATATACGGGGTGCGACATGGCCTCCATAACGGGCATGCGTTCATTTACTATTTTGGGTGTCGAAACCGCGGAGTAACAACCAAAATTTGTTGTTTTCGCAATTCAAATAAATTATCAAATCCTTCGCGAATAAGGATCAGAGCGTAAAAATTTAAATTAGACCTTTTATTGAAAAGGATGCTATTTTGCATAGAGAAAACAACGTCCGTTTTTTTAACGCGGAATACCAGCTTGTTATTTGTTGGTCTTAGTCCAACAGTTAGTCTCTTTTTTGGGCCTTTTGAACCCTATTGAGAACTATTTCAGGCACGCTATCGGCCTGTAACTCGATGTTGCCGGAATCTGTTGTAGTTAGACGATTTTCACCTACGAATATCTCGGGATGCACGATTACTGCTAAAAAGTTCTGAAGAATCAAAAATTTATACAAGTGTCTTATATCTGTACTTTATATATCACGTTTGTGTTACATCAATCGCTGCGGGAAGTCCCCTTCCCGCCTCCCCCGTCTACAAACCTTTGGATTTGGTACGACGACCTCGAATTCCATGCTAAGAACGCTCTCAACAAATCCTGATCAATACGCCGGTCTCGGTTGAGGCGCCTTGGATGTGCACGTTTTTGTATACTATTGCTTCCTGACCCTGTTCGCAATTATTCGTAATTAGCCACATTTGGGTATATATATCCCACTAGCTCTATGGGTTTGGGGACATGTTCATCTAGGCCCTACGGGAGATTTGTGTTAATACGAGCACTTTATTTTGATGGGCTGATGACGTATCAGCATCTTCAGCCTGAATTAGTGATGAAATAAGTATTCATCATTTATTTCTGAAGGATCGAAGTCTTTTGCAGCCTAGCTCCGTTGCATTTTTTCGGCTCGTAAGCTCCGCACGTTGCATAGTCAGTCAATGTATAGGGAACGAATGTATAGAAGATTGTAGTACTGACTGATCGGGGCACTATAAATCAGTTGTGCTTTGGAGACGTCAAGTCATCATGGTTTATATCGCTTACCTATAGTGCATAACACTGCGACGATTAGCACTCTTTTTAACTTACCTTACCTCCAGTGGCCTCGAAGCTTCTTGAGACACTCGAGGCCCCCTGTAGTGATCATACAACTGACAACTCATCACACCGATGTATCCATGTTTTGTGTCGTTGATTGTTTAATATATCGGCTCAACCCGCATTTTCGACGTTACCAGTTTAAACTCGCATTCGTTCGAGTTCGTTATTTTATTGGAGAGGTCCGCCTGCTAGATTGAGCACCAGATTGTTGTGGTAGGTACCCAGTTGCGTACCCATTGTGTAGTCTAAGGAGAAGACTTGTTTTTCGCTATTGGTTTTGCAAAAATAGACCTTATTTCAAACTTTCTCAATTATTACCATATACTTCCTCTATCACTCACGCGTACAATACACTAGTACACTACATCGTGAAGGTGCATCTCTTTACCCAACAGGAACTTATCTACCCTAAGAGAAACTTGCCGAGTGTTCCGGATCAGCTAGCACTAAATATCAGTTAAAGAGGTTCTGAAGATGTACTAGCCGGAGACCCTTAATTATATATATATATATAAATTTTTTTAAGTTATAAGTTTTTATATAACTTATCATATATATATATATATATATATGATAAGTTATATAAAAACTTATAACTTAAAAAAATTCTTAGAGCGCTTACCCGGTTATTCCGGGTCTTACTAAGGGAGAGAACACAAATATTTTCCAGGCATTTTATTGAGTGAACTACCTTTTGGTTGGCGTGGAGGTTCATCTTTGGAAGCTGTTGACTGTTCAGTTGGCGTTAAGTTGACGCTAGACGTGCCGACAGGCCCAAGCCCTGTTCGGCCTAAGTTCTCGATACGCGAACGCATTCGCTCGTAGGCCTCATCATTTATGAACTGCAATTCGTAATTTTGCTTTAATTATATATCACCTATTTTTATGTTAGCACACAGAATAAAGGTAAGCCGCCATCTTCAATGGTGAGTATAAAAGACTTTAACCCTGAATTTTCCTCCTCGAGTTAGCAGTGACACTGACCGCTTAAAATAAGAACATCTGGAAACTCATCGCTTTAGACTTTCTGAACTCTGTTTAACATTAGTTTGGGAACGGAAGGTCAATTTGGACAAATCTACGCAGTGAAAACGTTTCGCCTAACAGCCATGCGGATACCCGCTTCTCGTATTAGCCATTGTCCTTTTATTTTTGACATCTTACCACTTATAAGCGCTCAAACTAGAAATGCTGGTCATTCTGCTAGTGGTTACAACGGCATCCACAGAGATGTTCTAATCAGTCAGTCAGAAAGTCAGAACCGCCTTTGGGGTCAACGTGTGCAACGTGTAAAAACTTCTGTGGATAGACGTACAACTAACCGGCCCAGCGTAAGTTTAACGGTTAAACTTCAATCGAGATGATCATACCTGGAACGTTCGCTGAATACCCTCGATTACCATGACAAGGCGGCCTGAACCAAACCCAAATCGCCCAGGTCTTATAGCCGTTGGATATTGGCTCCATCAAGGCGTAATATTAAATTGGAACAAACCTTTCCACTCTCGAAGGTACCAAGGAAAGTCCGTTTGACTGTCAACCAGTTCAGGCTCTAAAATACGTCCGACAATTACATTGCTAAGTTCAGAGACGAAATTCGAAATTCGGAAAAGATACCCCACCTCGCTCAGCCATCCGAGGTCGATGAGAAGCCCAAATGACAGACTTGTTATTTGCCGAAGGTACGCGATGAACAGCAGATTACAAGCACCTTAACCAGGAAAAAACTATAGGCTGGATGAAATGCAGAGAAATTAAGGCTTCGCATTGACATGAACCGGCACACGGCAACGCGCCGCCACAATTACAGCTTTCTACAATTTTACCGATGACGAAAAGTGGGTCTCTGCGAGTCAACGTCACGAAGAGAAACGAGTTTGTCGTTGCGGCTGAAACCCATAATTAAGCCGGATCACGTATTTCAAAAAACGGATTTGTGTTGAGTAGGACGGCGGGACTGGAAAAGTTTGGTATGTTTAGAAATGCTTAGGAGCATGATGGCGCATAAAGATTTGTAGTTGCGTTGAGTGAAGGAATCTGTAACGTAGTAGCGTAAGAAAAAAAAGCGTAAAATATCCTTTCCCATAGCAATATTGCCATGTTGCTCACAGGAACGGCTATGAAAACCGCATCGTAATAGCCTAAATGGAATGTTTTTCCAACCAGCACATTTCCTAGATCTCGCTCCGATTGTCATCTTTTCTGATCAGTGAACTTGTAACTGAGAGTCAAGATTTTAAATGTGGCTATACGAGATTAAACATCAGATCCGAATTCCTGGCGAGGGAGAATCAGATGAAACGCTATTCTTGATTAAAGAAAACGCCAGTGGTCGCAAATTTAATTACTGGAACTGATATTAATTACATAGTAGATACGTGTTACTATCGTTTCGGTAAAATGCTGCGTTTCTCGTAATAAACTACATACGAATCTAACATTGACTTACCTGATCAATCTTAATGCCAAGAAGCTGTTCAACCTCATCGATGGTAATGTCCCGATCCACTTGACAGGCGGCATCCGTACACTTGCCGCCGTTCTTAATTAGCTTTGGGTGCACGCAACATGGTATGCCTTTGGGAACAGCCGAACTTTGACGAGTTCCCTTTTCAAACGAAACCCTTGGCTAAAAGTGTCCCGATAATAATTCACATGTTAATTACAAACGATTCTATCAAACAAATACTTCACGTTCCGAATGTGGTTTCTGTCGTCCCTTACGTCGCGCTGGGATAAAACAACCAATGATCCTTGGACACAACGTTGACACGAACGGCCGGATTTTTTCAATAGGCCTTTACTCTAGTGCCTAGACTTCACTTTAATCAAGATCTTTAGACTAGCTTAAGATCGAATCATAAAATGGCGACTGGTTCAACATAACTCCTGGGTTGATCCCAACCGTAACTAGACAATAAACGTCATTAAGCTAGCTCAAAGGTAAGCGTAAACTTTTTACTTAGACCATGTTTATGTAATGGTACGATGGTGCTCGATCTAACCGCTGTGCGGAGTTGCGTCCTGTTGCTTTCAGCGGGTGACCTCAGCGCAGGCGGCATCACTTGAACGTTACTATCCTGCTCCAACGTTCTTGAAGTCAAAGAACTCTCTATGGTTCGCTCACGTCCGATCTGGGCCGACGATTGCGACAGGGCATCCTTGATAAGGGCAGATAATCGATACAAAACCGTACGTAAAAATCTCCCCCACAATATTGTATACCTAAATATGTCACGAATCGTTTGGCGTTTTACTGAACAACGGTACAAATAGTGAGTGCAATTCATGAGACAATCGCATTAACTACAATGGACGTCATTATGTATATATACATACACATATATACACATACAAACAGGGTCCTAGCCTATTATAGACTATAAATATTGGTTGAAGCCATACAGGAGTTTTGAGGTCTGACTTAGTTCAGCCAATGTGTCCTATTTAACTTACTTGTTGACACTCTTCAAATGGCTTCAAGTTTGACCTCATAACTCCTGTATTTCCTCAGATCTGAATCTCTCAAATCATTTTATCGTAATCAAGCAATTTGCGTTGTTTCCACCTCTTCGGTTATGCTGACCCTATGTCCTGTTGACTTTTTTTAAGCAGCTGTACTATAAATAAAAAAATACAACTACAGGATCAATAAACAGTTTCTTATTCTATCTTTCGAAGGACCTACGCAGGTACTTATGCGTGCGTTACTCAAATCCACTAATGAAGTGCTAATCCTACAGTGCAGTCTTGGACTGAAGGTGAAGGGATAACATTTCGTCCAATTCTGATAGTCCTTTATTACCTACCATTATTTCTCATCACCGTTATAGCTTCGAGGCTGTTAAAATACATCTGATTATATTTAACTACAATAATATGCTTATTAAGAGAAATCCGTTAAGTGTCCAATCCTTACCTTTGACTTACAGCTTTCGGCTGGCCCGCGCTTTTCATCCCATTTCTCATCAGATTCTAAACTTTTTGCGTCTTTGCCGCTTTTTGTGGGAGCCGTCACGACACAAGGCGCCTCCTGCTTCAAGCGAAGTCGCAACGTTAGTTTCGGTTCCTTCGGTCGAATCTCGGGGACGCTGGATTCCGTTTGAACGATTGGCGGCGGCGGCGGTGATTTGGGAGGCTTCTCTGTCTCATTGTTCTGAAGTCGTCGCGCTGGCATTCTGGGCAAAGCGAGTAATCTCCGAGGAAATTCTCTGTCAACTATCAATCTAAGAACCAATCACGGGCCGCTCTCCCGTTAGTAATTGAATATTGTCATAATTTCTACTGAGACGAAGGCTCGCCTAGCCCGTCGGATTAGAAACAAAGACGTGACAGGCACTGGCTGGTAAAACGTTAGGACTTCGTTATTTCGCCACAACCAAGTCTCGCAGTAGTCTAGCTAAGAACGACTAGAGATTCGTCCTTCGCTTAGCAGACATCAGCCCAAGAAATAGCCGCACGAGCAGAAACGACTTAAACTTATTGCCAAACCCTCATGTTTAAACTTCCGTGGCATATAAAGGGTTCGTAGTAACCACGAGCCACGTGCGAGTAGAAAACACGCACGTGTCAGATGTAAATATGTATAGGCTTTTATGTGGCCAAAAAAAACGCAATAAAAATCATGATCAGACAATAGACGAGACCATGGTTGAGTTATTGTTTATATGAAAGCACAGTAAACGAACGCTGAGACTTAACTTACGACGCTGCACTGCTTTGGCAAAACTCCGTTGGGGAACAGAGTTAGCGAAATGACGCAACTAACGTACATCATTAAGCTGGGTAAGATGCCGCCCTGCACCTTTTGCGCGGATCTCTACTCAAAGGCATTGGGGACTGTAAACTATGTTCTTTATCTACATCTGTTTTTAATATTGCCGATCTCCGATGATAAGCCATATATATATATACATATATATATATGCAGTGTATCATCATATATACACGACTGTCGTAGCGTTCACTACACGATCTACGTACCACAGGTAAAAACCTATAAAAAGAACCTGGCCAAATAAACACTCGGATTTTTAAAGGTTTTAATTTTTGGGGGAAGCAAACCTAGGGTCGCTAATGCTTAAACGGAGAGGTATCAATCAGAGTCTGTTTTTTTCGATTATTTTGAAAATGATGGGTCAAAGGTGACTGGGTTTGATATAACTAGAATCTTCATCGGAATGGAAATCGTTTGAAAATAGTAACACTGACTAAGATTTTAAATATGGGATTGCCATAGGGAATTGACAGTATTAAATAATAATGAGTAGCATGCTATTATTACTATGCTTATTTGGCCTTCATGCATGTGCTATTATTGGCGGCCTGCAAGGCATGCATGAAGATGATCCTAGTTGATCCTGCAGACTGAAGCGAATACACGTTGTTGGTTGGAGTTTCATTGAAATTGTGTCGCGTAATTCTAAAAACAATAAAAAAAAAAAAATCTAAGCAATTTGAAACAATTTCGACCCAACTTCGAAAATGAGTCATCTCATAAACTGGTCCTGCATGACGCAGATTTCGCTGCTCTTATCCCAGTAAGGACGTTGATTACCCCTAGAATGGTCAACCAAATTGAAGTGTTTGACTTCGCAGTGTCCCAGGTGAATACGAGGAGAAGCCTTGAGAATATCCAGCAAATAATTTATTTAGATACGACAATTTCTCATTGCTTAATTCAAGAATCATATATCGCTTGACGGAAAGAATATATGCCTCCTCGTAGATTTTTAACTGATTTTGAATCAGGGTAGTCCCATACGTTTCTCACGTTGACTCGAGCACCTCAGCTAACCAGCAAATCAATTTTGTTCCTTCACTATCTTTTTTTTTTTTTTTAATGTTTTTACCGGTTACTAATGAGTGCATAATTGTCACCTCACAGATGGTTGCTAGATCTGACTAAATAAAAATCAATAACTGTAACATAATTGATATTTATTAAAGCATTTTGGATTTTTTTTTGTTACCATTCTTATCGTATCTGATTCGAATGAACCCAATCATTGTGATCACAAAATTGTTCTTTTTAGTGGCTGTTTTGATGGTTCACTAGAATCGTGCACTCAGATCGCCGTAATTGTCTTTGTCGTCTTCTCCAAACAGCTCGTCGTAGAAGTTCTCCGCAGCCGAGCTCTTACCTGATCCACCGATTGTCTTGCAACTAGCTAGACGACTAACTTGTGCCTGATCTGGAACGACCGAATATTCATACGGATAAATCTGGTCGCCGCCTGGCGGAGGTGGTGGGTAATACACGTGGTTACCGCATTCCGCTTTGAAAAAAGTACGTCTACAGTCACGTGGTTTCAATTCGTGATCCATGCAGAACTCCACCTGTACGAACATATACGGAAAGTCGATGGGAAATATCGTTGTCACTAATAAGTACAACTTTTTTACATCAAGTTTTGGTAAGCATTAGGGTGAGACGCTAAGTTATGATTCGCTGTGATAGGGATCCAAATCGAAATCAAAAAAAAAAAGGTCTTCTAACGTCATTATTGATATATTGGCCCAGTGTTTGTTGGCAGGAAGCCTGACAATTATAAGCAGCAGCAGCAGCAGCAGCAGCAGCATAATTCAAAGAAGTGATAGGGATTGGAAAGAACAAAATCACTGTATGTATTTATAGCTGCCCATAGGGATCAATAAATTTTTTCCTCGTTAAGAGCGACATCGAAAGGTTCAAAACCTGAAGGGCATCCGTCGACAAACAATTATTAAACATATTAATTCAACTGCGTTTAAATACAATTAACTTGGACATATGAAGCTCTGTCAGGTTGAAATCGTTAAACCAATTAAAGAAATAAGCCTTGTTTTTCTTTAAATGGAGAAAAAGAGCGGTTAGCAATAATAAAATGTACCTCCTCAAGAAAATTGTTTGGTCGAGGACATCGTAATCGAACTCTAGCTCCATGGATCGTTTGAAGAGCTTCTTCGAAGCGCCGCGTTTCATACGGGTGAATTGATGGCACGTATTTAGCCTTCATCAGATCAACTACAATAGACATTTTCTTCAGTCACTGTGCGAAACAGAACTCTGCTTCATGGTGTGTACATCGATTGACAAGAACGCTTCGATGCGGACGTGAAATTTTACCAAAATAAAACTATATTTAGCTTTATTTTGGTACTTCAGGCATTTGATGTGGGGGTTAACGGCAGATGATGGGTGATGACTTTAATGACTAATGCTTATCTCAGACGAGGAAACAGGGATCACGGGCTCTTTACCTAAATGACACTTGCGGCGTCGTAACAAGCACCATATTAGAAATAGCGCTCTACTTCAGCGTAGAACAAGTTTACCATCGAAAACATGAAATGCCGAGCCGTAGTCTTCAATTTAAACGCCAAAATCCGCATAAAGTAGCATGAACAATACGCCTATGATCATACATAATAGTAACCTACCTAACTAACCTAACCTAACTTGTTATATTCGTGCGACAAGACAAAGCAAAGCAATTCCTCTAGAACCAACAGAGTATGAACGCTGCGTATGTTAACATTTAATAAAATCCTAAATACCCAATACTGAAATACGGCGTAGTGAAAGAGAACCAATTCAGCAGAACTTTAATTGTGAACGAAGTTGTGCACCCTTACAACAGTAATCGAAACTTGTTTGTTTACATTCTAAACTTGAATCAGGTGATTACGGTGGTTAAACAACGACCTTCATGAAGTAGCAAAAAAATCGCAGGCCTTGTTTTTCATTTATGACACACGGAACAGCAGCAAAGTGATATAAATTTATCTCTTTCATCACTTGAAGCATATCGTGTAATCAGACGAAGAGGTTATTATTTTTTTATAATCTTGTCGTTATTAAGCGAGAATTGTGCTACCCGTGCCTCTGCGCTTATTCTATTATCTTTCTAGTCCAGTGACGCTTGAAGGTTCAGCATAGAAATGCAGAATCGTATCTTATGCAGACACTCGGTCTTCACCCCCCCCCCCCCCCCAGAAGTTAGATGAATACAAAATCATATTGCCCTAATGCTAGTACTAATTTGTGTCTTAGATGGAAAAGTGTTGGCTCCTCTATACGCGCATGGCCTCAACTGCACTGGGTTTTTACCACGACAATTTTGTTAAGTGACGTCTCTCATGAACTGCAGCGTTTAGGGACAAAGGAATGATACATCGGTGACCTGTACGTTCATCCTTCTACGACCTTGATGAATATAGAATACTGTATTACACAAGCTGTATGAAATAAAAAGGACTTAATAGTATTTTTTTAGGATGATGAAACGGTAACGTCACTGCCTGATAGCTTGGGTTTCGCAAACGCATGTGTAGAAGGTTATATCCACGATACATCATGTCTAGTTCAGGTCGTCAGAGAATAATTACTAGAGAAAGATATTAAAATGCTTGATTGTCGTTCATTGCGCTGGCCGTATCTACTGTATAGTATAGAGATTATACGAACTCATCAGATCTAGTCGCTGGGCTAGATACAAAGCGGTCTGGAAAAAGCGGACAGGTGTTCCCAACAGCGAATAGCGGTCGAAGCATGTGCCATCTCGGCGATAATGGGCCGCCCAGAATTCGATATACGACGAGCTCGGCTCAAACACCGCTGGCCACATCCGATAGAGCTGAGGGCGGAGACTATGCGGAACTGAAATTAAGCCAATATTACACGCAAGCAGTTTGTGTGTATTGCAATTGACGACCTATAAGCTACCGACCTCCTTCAATTGGTAATAGTAATACTCATAAGCTATTTAGCTTTAGCCTATTAAAGGTAAACTCATCCACTGCGTAAACGTTAGATGGGGGTTGTGAGACGATATCGTTTACCGAAAATTTTCATGTGAGGTTTACAATCTCTTAGAGTTCCGCGGAGTTCTTTAATCGTCCAGAATGGACGGAGGGCTTCAATTCGACAAGGTGGCTTTGAGCTTATCTGGAAGTAGAACGGGATTGTACAAGATAGTAAAAACGCGTCCAGATCAACATAATATGGGCATAATGGATGATGCCGAAATGGCTTAATAGATAAAATCGGAGCGAAAAGAAATCCAATATGAATCAAGATTATATCTATACAGCACTTTTGTTGTAAAAAGTTCCTGACGGCCTTTTTCATTATTTCTCGTAGCTAAGTTCAGTTAAACGAGACAAATGTATATTACAGTGGGAAGAAGCGCGTACTTTCGAGCGGTTAGATCTGTTCGGCAATCAGATACGACCGGCCGGCGGAAACGCGTCGTTAAAAATTGTCATATAAAATTATTATAGTAACATTTACAAGATATAATCCTTTATACACAATGAATTTCACTGTGGCTCACGTGCTATTTCCTTTCATTCTCTTATTTGTTATTTCGTTAACACCCATTCCAATCCCTACCATATGAGTGTACTAAGCAACGTAAACCTCAGTAGTTCTAGGAACAAACGCACACACATCGCCGCGTGAAATAAACGCACCAGCGTGGAGAGATAACGTATAGGGACACGAATAACTTATGGAGTCAGTTGGTCAGCATTTTCGAAGCAAACTTGTAAGCACAGAAACCTAACAGCTTGCATACTACGGATGTAGCACAGTCTTTACTCGAACGGTGCGATCATTTTACCTCGTGGGTAGGCGTGGTGCAAACTCCTGGTAACCAGGTCATAACTAGGGTAACCGCTGGCTGAACGTCTTCTTTCCAAAAGTGTGTCTGGGCGCCGAAGCCCAACACATCCATGCCCCAGGCTTTATTTACTACTAGAAACAAGACCATAGAAAGCGTTATACAGCGGAGCCAGAATAGTTCATTTCTGCTCATTTTTAGAAGTGTCAGTTTTTCTTGTTGACCGCTTTAATTTCTTGACTTGAAAAATTGGTTCGGTTGACAATACCGAGTGTATGATCGAGTTCTTTTGATTCGTTATCCTCTTTGCACAGATAAATATTGAGGTTATAGTGTGCGCGGTATAAAGTGCGCTATCGTCAATTCGTTATGAGGCGAGATCACTGACTTATCTCAGATACGGTTAGAGGGGAAAAAATAGTCAGCTGTGATAGAACTGCAGCCGTGAGCTGTCAGTTCATTATGCTTAATTTGCGTGAGGCACTTCTGGCAGGCCATCGGTCCTAACGAGAAAAAACAACGATACAAATTTTGCAGTTGTAGTTTTATTGAGGTACGAGAGAGCGAGAGCGTCGCGCATTCTGGACGCTTTATGGGTAATATGTCCCTTGCACTTGACCAAAGTTAAATGTAGGGTTATAGTGGGAAGTTGGGTCGAGTTTTTCGAATTTACAAGGACCAAAGTGAACAGTGGATCAACCATTAAATCAAAATGGCGATAATGACCGCCATAATCGTATCAGCATTTGACGGGTACAATGAACGTACCTTGTCCTATCTCGTAGTTGTCTTTGTCCTTGACTAGACTAGAGTTTACGCGTGAGCTAAACGTGAAATGAGAGGTACCACTGTTGACGTCATCATTGTTATTGCTGTTACGACGCTCCAGTCACCAATGAGACGACTCAATTAAACCTTCCTGGCAATAGCAGCTTCATTAGGACAATGTGAACAAGGCACTTTGCAAGGACGACGACTGTTTTCACCGCTCTAAGCTAGACGGAGCCAAGCGTTGTAAATGGCCCGTTTTTGTCCGCCTAGTACCCGCCATCGCTGTCCAGCACAGAACTGAGCCTCGTCGAACAGTACAGCAGGCAGCTTGGCAAAGTCCACTGAAGAGAGTTGGGTCTTAGCTTCAGTTATCGTCCGGAAAGCAGCTGGCAAGGCACTTAAACCGCTTCTGATCCATCCCCCTACAGTCTCATTTACCACGACACTACGTTCACGGGTTCGTGCCACACAGTCAAATCTGCACACCCCCATAGACCACCGCGCTCGTATATCAAACATTGGACTATGCGGCTGCTAGGGATAAGCCCAATTCCACCTACAGATCCAGCACGGTACGTTCGCTGGAGCTGCTGACGGTAGTTCTGTTGTGGGAATCGTGCTGCCGTAGGCCAAACATTCCACGTTAGAGCCTGTGGTGTCGACTTGTAAACGGAAAGAATGGGGTCAGATGTTATGTGAATGACGGTATACGACAGCATACATTCCCTTAGAGTGTCCTTAACAGGAACCAGAAATGGCATCGTTAGTAAGACTTGAGTTGGGAATTTGTGAGGGGCATTGTATATATATATGTAAATAAATAGAAGGAAAAAAATCGTGTGTTTAACACTTCTTTTTTTGTTTCTTGGTGGAATCTCTGACTGGCCATATTTTTTCTATTGCCAATTTAGATGTCGGGTTGCGTATGGGTCAGGCCGCACCAACTTGAGTTTAGTGGACTTGGGAATTTATCGATATAGACTACGTTCAAAGATGGATGCCAATTGTAGCGGGTGGCCATTGTTGCTCTTTTTGTCCAGTATTAGTGCTGCCACGATGGCGCTAGGAAATCTACGAGAATGGGCGGGCATTAGAATGGAGGAGAGTGCCGACCTCGTTAGTTTGTGTGGTTCCCGCTCACGATTTTCTTTGGAAGTGTATACAATTTGACTAATTGACTCAAGACCTTGTTATAGGCGAACAGTATCCTCGACCAGAACAAGTGCCTTATAAGCAAAGCATTTGCGTTATGAGACGTCAGGGCATAATCAACCGTGTCGATTTTAGCGGTCTTTAAACGTGAACGACTAGAAAAGTCTGACGTTTATATCCACTTATACAAATAGTTTGTTTTAGCCAAAATCTATAATTGTTTCCGGGCCTCAAAAACTTCACTTGAAAAATGTTATAAAGAACTTTTAGAAAAATTGTAACGCTCTTAGATGTAGCACGATATAGTACGATGTAGTACGATACATACTATTTTTAAGGGGCATAGTGTACATACTTTCCTTAACCTAATCGAGTCCAGATGCAAGTCACCAACGTGGATCTACTGCGTTAAATAAAATCTATACCTATCGCCTATACCAAACAGGTAATCAGTATTTCTGCATAACGAATGAGTAGATGGATTCAAGGGCGTGATCCTTCGTTCGTCGATGACCTCGAGTTTATTGTAGCACTGCGTATTCTCAGACATGTCCTATCGTGATACACTGCAGATCTTTATGTATTATACGAGGAGTTTCTGTTCCATTCGGTCAATAACTTTGGACTGCATTTTATTATTAAATAAACTTTATTGTTCTTAGAATGTCAAAACAACGAAGCGGTATACCTTAAAATACAGCCTATGCTTTCACTGTAATTTTGTGTGCATTTTATTACTATGATTCATACTGTATGAAATAATATTTGTTAATTTTACGCAAAAACGGCGCCAACGTTTTAGTTCAGACTCAAAGCAAAGAAAAACTGTCACCTAGTATTATGGAGTGTAATTATAGCATATGCGCTCGTTAAGAAATGTATTATTTGTGAATTTAAATTAATAAATTGTAAATAAATGGATAGATGTTTAAGTATCCTTGTCATACAATAAAAGCATCGATCGATCATTTACCAACAGCTGTTTATCACTTAACAAGTACGTTTTTCCTCGTCGTTAGGCGGAGTGCGCGCACCCTACCGAGTAGACAGGTGAATCCTTACTAAGTGGACTAAATCGTGCACGACGCCTCCAGCTCCGTTCACAAGCGACAGTCATTTTTGTATACATGTATCGTACATAGGTTCAACTGGACTTCTTCTGCATGATAGCAACGATCTTATCGTCCTGTACGCTCCTACATATATCAACGGCTTCCGAACCGTCCATGTTCAACAAAAAATATATATCCAGCAGTAACCCTTAACTATGTTCTGCTTGTTTGCATTAGCCGCTCAAGCGAATAATAGTTCATTCCCATGAGTTCATCGTAGTAGCTTTTGCTCCTAATCAATGACTGAAGCTTTCCGTAACGGTACTATGCTATGCCGCTTGACATATTTCCGTAATGAGGGTCTTCACGTTAGTTATTGTATATACGGACGTATTGTTTGTACAAGTATACACTTTTTTAGTCTTTCAATGTATCTTGACATGTTTCAATGCTACATAAAAACCTAAACCAGTAACCAATCACAGTCTGAAAGGTTTTTCGCGTTTTTATTTGGACACTGTGAGTAACAGGAAAAACATACGTCTTGAAGCTTTACTTAAATTTAAGAACGTCAAAAATCAATGTATACTTACCTAAAATACTAAGTTCAGTATTGCACATGTAAATGTAATAAAGGAAAGTATATAACGCATATGTCCATTACATATATTAAATAAATAAACATGTTACTCTTAAGTGGCCTTTTAGGCTTTAGAGTCGAGAATCCTTATGAGTCATCCGATGAAAACACCCGGGCAGTTTTTCGGTCCAGTCGGAAATACCAACATGATATATACATGATGATGTGAAAGTCAACCCTCTCGTTCCATCATCTATTTTCCCTTTTACTCAATAATAGCCTGGGAAAGGAAAACGGGTAAGTCAAGCACATTGTATACCAATTAGAGCGCGTTTCCCTTACCCATAGCGGCTATAAAAACAGTATCGCCACATTTCTAACTGTCATCTCTTGTTGCTACAGTCAGTCTTAATCTCACGATATTATTTCTGTTAGTCTAAACAAACATGCTATGTAGAACCCAAAACGGTAGTAGAAGTAATAGTGCACGACTGCTACACACGGCAAACAGTGACAAGTTAGAGGTCCCTTGAGACATGTCTCGACCTCGTTTGCTGGACTCTTATAATGCCGTCCACTGCAAGGCGTATTGCGGCCACATTGACACGATGTCATCGTCATCGATAGCCTATACACCGACTCCACAGCACAATGGCTCTATAGCAACGAAAGGAGCATCCGATCCTTTCTCTCTGGCAAAAAAAGAAGGCCTCTTTCCTATAACGTCATTGCTTTTTGTCATTTTCTTCCCAGTCCTCGGCCATGTTTTGTACTTTTCTGAAACATCTTATTCCTACTTCGATTACCGCTTCTTTTTGCCGAATCTTCTTTGCTCTTTCAGACAGACACATCAAAATAGGGAACGAAGGTGACCCCTCAGAAGGAAGACGAAGAAGTCACAAAACTAGTGGTGTCGACAATGACGACAAATTGTTGTTGAGCTTCAAATATATTATTGTGTGCGCGTTGATCATTTAGATGGGGTTCGGGCTAGACCAGCTCGGTAGGAAGTGAAGTTCGGTGCGGGACAAGATAGAAAACCGAGTGGGTGCAGTCCTTCAATCTAGAGAAAGGCGTAGGTAGAGCCCATTCAAAAATTCAACGTAGATTTTCGCAAGCTTCCTCTCGTCAGGCTATCGTCTAGAATGACACTGGGTGGTGGCACCGGGCCTCGAACAAGGACGAGAAGCGAAACTTGCTGCGCTCACTCAGTAATCCTCGTTTGTAGATAGGTCTCTGGGGAACTTTTCCCTCTAGTAACCATCTGACATTTTAAAAAGGCCGCAGAAAAAAGAATGTTGGTCTGACTGGTTGACCCGATCAGGTAAACGAAAACATGGGCCGTTATGAAAAAAAACAGTGGCCTAACCTAGACTGAGTTTTTCGGTATATTTCAAAATGTCGACTACTTGGTACCTAAGAAAATTATTAGATTGTTTCAATGTGTAAAATTTTCAGTGGTGTACACGTCTAACTAGGCATACGAATAAATATGGTGTTGAGAGAAAGATGGCGGAACTTTAGCTAACGTTTGGTACGTCACGGCGCTCTACTGAAGCCCTGCCGAAATAACACAATTTTCAGTTCCTTTTTTCTAATGACTATAGCCTAATCTCATTTTGACCAATAGCGCTCGTAAAATACGTGCCTCTCAGCTATTCATAAGATATTTTACATGCATATGTACCATGTTTACTGGACAGTATGAGTGCTAAGGTCACATACTGCCCAGTAAACTTCGCTACCCTATGCTATGACGACACTAGCAGCTGAGACCTCTGACTGACAATCACATTGCATACGAGTACAATATAACATAACACTCGAGCTTCTGTGCACCTATGATAGTCGGATCTTTTTC